TCATGGGGTGGGGGTAGTGATACCGATCGATACAGGAGAGATTGTTTGACACAGAAGGTCTATCAAAATCATGTAAACAGTTTGAGTATAGAAAGGGTTGGGTCTTCAGTGTTCTCAGCCAGAGGGACCTTGATCGCCTTCAGAGATTCCAAAACTGAGCAGCAAGGCTTGTCTTTTCTGCTCCTCTTCGAACTCACATACAACCTCTTTGACTTGAACTTCATTGTATACATGTTTATACAATGTTTTAGAACATTTCTGTGCTGCAACTCAGTGCCTTAGTTTTTATTGTACATGTTTATATATTTTTAACTTGCCTTTCATTTTAGTCATGTTTACATACACACTATATATGACATTTTAGTTATTTAGAGGAACTAGGGTGATATATATGTGGGTATTTATTACACCGTAAGTAGTAGAATAAGTCCAAGTAATATGTGTTGCAATTATGAACTTGCCTTTCATTTGAGTTTTTATTGTACATGTTTATACAATGTTTTAGAACAATCCTGTGCTGCAACTCAGTGCCTTAGTTTTTATTGTACATGTTTATATATTTTTAACTTGCCTTCATTTTAGTCATGTTTACGTACACACTGTATATGACATTTTAGTTGTTTCTTTTTAACTTGCCGATTATTTAGAGGAACTAGGGTGATATATATGTGGGTATTTATTACATCTTAGTAGAATAAGTCCAAGTAATATGTGTTGCAATTACGAACTTGCCTTTCATTTTAGTTTGTAGTGTACATGTTTATGTGATATATTTTTTACTTGCCTTTTATTTTAGTTTTTAGCATATGTACATGCATACAACTTTTGATATAAACCAAATACATCCTGCCACTTTCATTCAATTCATTTTTTTAATAAGCATCATGTGTGTATTGGAAGTTAACATTTAAGTTTAGATTTCTCACAAATTCAATATATTATAGTCACCGTTCGGTTTACTATAGAACACACTACAGCCACCATTCTGCTAACCATAGATCAAGACCCAAACTACCATTCTGAATATACCATTTCAAAATGCTACAATTAAGCGTAACATTTTGTTGCAAATTTTGAATGGTAGTGAATGGTAGATGAATGGTGGCTCTATGGTAGATGAATGGTGGCTCTATGGTAGATGAATGGTGGCTCTATGGTAGATGAATGGTGGCTCTATGGTATATGAATGGTGGCTCTATGGTAGATGAATGGTGGCTCTATGGTAGATGAATGGTGGCTCTATGGTAGATGAATGGTGGCTCTATGGTAGATGAATGATGGCTCTATGGTAGATGAATGGTGGCTCTATGGTATATGAATGGTGGCTCTATGGTAGATGAATGGTGGCTCTATGGTAAATGAATTGGTGGCTCTATGGTAGATGAATGGTGGCTCTATGGTAGATGAATGGTGGTTCTATGGTAGATGAATGGTGGCTCTATGGTAGATGAATGGTGGCTCTATGGTAGATGAATGGTGGCTCTATGGTAGATGAATGGTGGTTCTGTGGTAGATGAATGGTGGCTCTATGGTAGATGAATGATGGCTCTATGGTAGATGAATGATGACTCTATGGTGGCTCTATGGTAGATGAATGGTGGCTCTATGGTAGATGAATGGTGGCTCTATGGTAGATGAATGGTGGTTCTGTGGTAGATGAATGGTGGCTCTATGGTAGATGAATGATGGCTCTATGGTAGATGAATGATGACTCTATGGTGGCTCTATGGTATATGAATGGTGGCTCTATGGTAGAATATGTAGGTGTGGCCTAATTTGAATAAATGAATAAATTTGTCCCAATTATTTTAATTAGTTCTATGGTATTTGTATGGTAATCTATGGTAGATTTGCTATGGTGTTTGTATGGTGTACCATAGAGATTTTTTTTGTAAGGGTCATATATGAGTTGCATCAATAATGAAAGAAGAGGATCTAAGCTTAACAAAATATGTGCCATTTATTAATTATAATTGCGATTAAATTATGATAAAACATCGATAATAATTCTCGGTTTCGTTTTTTCTAGCACCTGAACCCGAAATAGAGCATCGTCTCATTATTGCTCCCTGTTGACTGTTATAAAGTGCTGTGAAACTTTATAAAATAGAGTCTTCATTTTCGTTATAATAAACTATTAAGTCTTCTATTTTTTTCTCTCTCTCTGGCTTCATATTACGCATTATTATTATGTTTATTGATTTAAATATATCTTGTATTTCTTGTCACTTTTTATTTTTTATTTTTTATATGTATCTTTTTTTTTGTTATGTACCAATCATTATTGATGACCTGTAAATAATGTGATATTAGTTTTGATTTAATAAAACATACAAATACAAAAAATAAAAATTGAGTCTTCGTAGAAAAACTGCCGGGTGTATTTTTTATACTGGGCTGTAGTACATTAACGCTACGAAAGATCGTATAATCGTATAATTAAAGACACGTTGGAGGTCCAAAATACGTATGAAATAAACATATAATTATAAGCATCTGTAAATCGGAGCACCAGACGTCTGAGTTGGCTATCGTATGGAAGGTAATTGAGAAAAAACGGTCCCAGGGCGAACCGATTGAGGTCAATATCGGATTTACGTGCTTGGTAAAAAGAAGAAGAAAAAATATTAACAAAGAGCTTATAAAAGAACAATGACCGATCTACTTGGACTGACGTAAACTCGCGTGAACGAAATTTACTAATTTTTATGATATTTGCAGGAGTGAAATGAGTGGCTAAGACCTGTGTACGACTCGTTCCGATCTACCAACGAGTATCAAGATCTTCTAACGAGTGATAAGAGTTTTCTACGAATTATGCGATCAATTAAGGGGCGGGAAACGCATAATTTTGGCGCTCTACAAAATAAAGATTGATGCCAGAAGCATTTTTGCACTGCTGGAGGAAGAACAGCAAATTATGGTGCGCTCGTCATGCTCAGCACCCTGCACTCTGCTCATTCGAAATTCGAAATTCGCCGTAAGTCCCCGCGCATTAATCTCATGGGCAGCTCGGCATGACTCGAAAACATTTCAACTATACAAGAACAAGAACGCGGGGGGGGGGGGGTGTCTGAAGGAGATGTGCCCTCCTCAGAACTTGAAGATTCTTTTGAAATTGATGCATAAATGGCTCGAGTTGGTGTTTACTTCTTGCCAAATTAAAACAAGAAACAACAGCAACAACGCAGGGGGCTGTCTGGAGGAGGATGTGCCCCCCTCAGAAGCTGAAGATTTTTTGAAATTGATGCTTGATTTGGTGCATGATTTTATCCAAGTTAAAAGTTCAACCAACAAGAACAGCTCTTATCAAATGTAGGCTGGCTCAGCCCCCCCCCCCAAAAAAAATGTCCAAGGTCGGTTGAACTTTTTTTAGACCCCCCCCCTTTTTTGTATTACCTCGATCGATTACATGTATGTGCCCCCCCCCCCCCCCCCACATCAAACGCTGGCTACGTGCCTGGGCTGGCTTACATTTAATGATGGGAAATGCTAATTACAGTATTACAAACATACACTACTTTTTATTTACTTCTGTCAAAAGAAACTACAATTTACGGGGATGATTTCGGGCAAATGCGTCAATTACTTTGTTTATATCTTTATCAATATCTCTGTTTAAATTGATGCGGGAAGTGAAGACAAACGTTTTTGGGTCATTGTTGATCGCAAGTACGTTTTCAGCAATCGAAGTTCACTAAATGAACGCTCATCAGAAACACTAGTAAGTGCGAAGGTCACCATATTTTTTAGAGGGGTCATTATAGATGAATGTGTCGTTTCCATTGAACAATCAGCCATGAGGTTTAGGAGATACAAGGGATTAATTTGATTTTTTTTTTCTTCAGTTGGTGAAAGGTTCTCCGTCGTCAACCAATGTTTAAACTTCCGGTGATGTGAATGTATAATAACGCGTCTATATCTGATCGCCTGATTTGGCTTGCTTTTCTACCTTTTCTCTACCTTTATTTTTTTTTCTTTTCCCTCTCCCCGCCCTCCTTTACGTCATAATTTACATTTTATAGTTCTCTTCCTCCTGGCCTTCCTCCTTCTATATATATTTATTTGTACATTTTGAAGGATATTATGCGAAGGAGCATAGCGACCGAGCGAGAAGATGTTAACATTTGTATTAGTCTAAACGCTGCACTATTGGGCCCTACAGAGCCTAAACGTGTGTTGCAGTCTTTAGTCAGTATTTGATGTACCATTTAAAAAAAAAAAAAAAAATTGGGGGGGGGGGGGGGGGAAGGCACTTTTTCAAATTTTCCGGGGGAGGGGGGGGGGGGTCGATTCCACACCGTTTCTTTCACAATGCAATTGCATGACCAGAACTCAACTTTATCTTTAAGATAAAGTTGAGTTCTGGTCATGTGATTGCATTGTGAAAGAAACGGTGTGGAATCTATCAGAAAAGGTTGATCATCTAGTATATAAGTATTCGAGTGTATTGCAAGGTTCTTGAATCATCAAAATGATAAGAAATTTGGCCAAATCTTGGCAAAGTTACAAGCACTGTACACAGAATGATGTATATGGGACTACACAAGCACATGGCGAAAAAAAACCTACCCCCCCCCCCCCGATTTTTACGATGTTTCATGTCATATTTAGAATATGATGGCATTTGAAGAGCCATGCTTTTCAGGGAACATGTTTAATCTGATGTTCTTCCACCCTTGCATAATAACAATGATAACGCTCACAGATTATTTTTTACCTCTTCCCAGAACTCAACCTTCTCTTTAACTTTAATTAGAAAAACAGTTAACTCTGCATTACTCTGTCGTACAAATCCAATTTTCCCCCAAGTCAAAATATTTTTTGTTTTACCACATTATGCAAAGCATGTGTTATTTACACTACCTAAGTAGTATTTTGCATAATTCAAACTATTTTTGCAGTCCCAACAGATTCCACTTTAATATGAAGAGTTTACCATATGAATAATACTATTTTTTTACACAAGTTCATAAACAAAACAAATGGCGGGACACAGCTTTTATCAGTGTTAATCATTTCTTTTATTTACATTTTGGGTGTATCATAATCATAGATCGTATATATTTACATTTCTTGTTCATAAAATAGAAAAAGACGTATGTCACACATGTATCAACAAATCAAATTTAAGATCGACCTTTGATCTAAATACTATAGGATGTTGGATCAATATCAATGAAATTATGCACCTACGATTTAAGGCTGCAATTATTGCAGAAAGTAAACTCAGACTTTTTTCATTTAAAATGTAGTTAGATTTCAAGCCCCCTAAAAGTACTGTTATATGATTAATAGCAAGACTAGTGAGTTGGAACAAACACTTTAGATCACATGACATGATGACCATATTAAGAGTTGTTCACATATGCCTTGTTATACTGCTGGGGTAAGATAAAATCTCATTTTATCTGAAGAAAGCACATTTCTGTATTTATAACAAAAAGATATCAAGTGAGAACACATGAAGTTGTTGCATTTAGATCCTGTTTTTTTTCCACCCACTCACAATCTTGCCATTTTTGTACATGAAATGAAAAGAAAGAAAGAAAAACACAAGATTCAAGGGTATACCACATTTTAATTGAACGCACCTTATGTTGTTGGAAGATGTGAGCTGTTGGAAGATACAAAATTTCAACCACAATGTTAAGTATCACATGAATTCAAGCACATTTTACTTGGCTTTTTCCTGTCAAATTTGCATAAACATGTATATGTGTATGTCCAATGTCGGTTGTCCAAACACTTTTGAGGTAAACATTGATATGATTTTCTGTTTGGCCTATAACTACATTTAGTCTATAAGTCAATGCAATTCACTATTGGCTTGATTCTGGGGCACTTAAATACAGAAATACATGTATACAAGACATTCCTCCTTATGTGAAAGTACAGTGCATCTAAAAACTATTTACATTTAATATGATGATATAACCTTAATATAATATAATCTCAAGACCAAATGATTACAATCCCTGTATATCTAAATATTCAAATTGTCAGTGGAAGTTAGAAGATGACATGGATGAAAAGCTTTACGTTAATATAGCCGATAGAGGATAAATTTTGCCCAATAGAAACTGACTAGCTTCTCCGCTATTATCTGGACAATGCCTGTGAGAGCTGTGACGCCTTCACGGGCAAAATTATCCTGCTTTTAGAAGGATAATTCAGTGGAAGCTAACCATATAATGTAATTAAGTAGAAACTCACGCCGTTCCCATAGAGTGCACATAACGGAGAGAAACCAGAAATCGGAGTGATCACATGATCAGAATATTTGACCCCAACACTAAAATCCCAGGTCCTAGCAATCCCACAATGCTCTAAATGATAGAAATGAGCGGCTGCTTTAAATCATGTACTTAACATTGTATTCATACTGGTATTAGATGGCTCAGATAAAACAGACAAGTGATAAGTAGTGGTTGGACATGTATCAGTCCCAGACGACTCACTCATTACTTGCTTAAGTGGTGCTGTCTTCATTAGATCTAAAATTCCCTGCGTGTCTACAGGATACCATATGATGGTCACGTGACTGAGGCGGTCTAGTGTTGACAAAGCAGACTGGACATTTATCATTCACAGATGATTTATTTGTTACATAATGTTTTAGTTGATTATATTCCCTTCAGTATATAGACTTGTCTGTACAGTCTCATGTGCAACAGCTGCTCTTCCATAAGATTGGTCACATGATCAAGATGGTCACATGACTAAGGCACGACGATGACAATTACGGCTGGGCTGGACACCTTTCACCCAGGAATGATTCTCTCATTACAGTTTCTTTAATCAAACTGTTGTCTTCATTGCATCTAGATTTCCATCTACCGAAATGTCAGACTCATGTGCAACAGGTGATTGCCTCAAGATAGTCACATGGTCAAAATGGTCACATGACCAAAGCGGTATGATGACGATGACAGCCAAGGTGAGATCTATCAGTTCCATGAGATAAGATCCTGGACCGGGGCTCCTTTCTCTGGGGTATCCTTCTCAGGTGTGAAGAGGGATGCAGCCTTGCTCAATCCAAAGCCCATGGAACTCTGTTAACAGGACAATCAAGATTGAAAGAAACAATGTCTCAGTGGATGTTATGGAGACATGCAGTTACGCTACTTTAAAAAGAGGAACTCACAAAATGTAAAGCAAATGGCCCACATACTAACAACTGAACTACAGAATTATAATTCTGCAGTTTGCAAAAACATTCTGCCATAAAAATAGTCATTGTTGAGAAATTGCCAAAGCTTCAGACTTTACAGCACTCTTTGGGTCAATTGTTTATCACTGTCAGCATTCCAGAGATACTGCTAGATTTTCAGATAGTATACACAAACAAATACATGTATCAGATTCAGAGTTTAACTGGTTCCAACATACATATCAATATAACTTTTTGTTTAATTTCTCATCAGATTTTATATAAAATCTTTAGTCTACAATCTACAATCTTTCTTGACTCTTTCTATCAACCAGAACTAGAATGTTAGTCAAATTCTTATGGTCTAAGAACTCTTTGATCTTCTTAGAGATTGTCATTTAGTTCTTTACCTATCTTTCTAGTCATATTTTCTTGGACTAAGAGTTTATTTGGTCCTCTTCCATTTTGGATACATTCTTTCTTTGCAGTCCTGAACTTATCTTTCAGAACTGGTCCTACATGTTTGGTCCTCATTATCTGGTCTTACCTTCCTGGTCTTTCTCCTGATTGGACTGCAGAGATTGGTTAATGGACTTTCCATCATCTTGGTCCTCTTGGACTGTAGAGCTGGACTACACAAATTGGATCCTGGACTGGCCATGATGGTCATCTTCTTCAGGGCTGGACTACACAGAGTAGATGCAGGACTTGCCATGATGTTGGTCCTCTTTAGTAGGGCTGGGCTACGCAGATTGGATGCTGGACTGGCCATGATGTTGGTCCTGTTCTGTAGAGCTTGACGACTAAGTCCATCTGGAATAATCACAAATATTTGTTAACGAACCTATGTATTTTCATTAAGGGGTAGTTTGGGAGGACTACGGCAATTAGCCAGGTTTGAAGTATGCATTTTTACCTGTTTATTACCAATGTAAGTCCCCTTCTTGGGGAAGAATGAGCATTACTATTTTTCCCCCAAGTCCCTTATGCATGGTATTAGTGCGAAGGATGAGAATGATGATGATGATGATTATAATGACAATAACAACAACAACAACAACAATAATAATAATAATAAAGAGTATTTTATAAAGCACCCTATCCTTTGTGCAAAATACTCAAGATACTGGGAGAGTATATTGGTTGAACCGGCAAGAACCCTGTTTACATGTCTTCTGCTTCTTATTCTTTGTGAAATTTATTTAAAATACTAAATGTAAGAAAATGGAATCCTCAAGCACATACCTTCACGGAGCTCCTTGGTCTTGGCAGGAGTGGCCTTCCTGGCCGGGCTCTCAACCTTGAAGAAGCCTCCTTCAAAGACCACCTTCTCCGACTCCGCCTTTCTCGTTGCCTTGGCCTGCATCGCTGCCTTGGCGGCTAGGAGCCTCTCCCTTGCAGCAATACGCTTAGCAGCAGCTTCACCTCCGACCAGCTTCTTGGTAACGGGCTTCTTCTTCTGCAAAAGGGTAACAAAAGAATGGACGGCAAAATTACGCTACCGCAGAAAGAGATCTTGGATTCATGCACACACCAATCATATGTTTTTGTTGTTGTTGTTGTACAACACGTGCTCAAGCGTCAATTTCTCTGCAGTCAATATCCTACCCTTACCAAACCCCTAACCTTAACCCTGGGTCAAACTGTTTACAGATGAAGTCCTAGCTGCAACACTAGTGCTACTGCCCTTTGGCAAGCTATTAATCTTTATTTGAAACCCAAAACCCAAATGCAGTAAATAGTACCTGGTAGCAAGTAATTCCTTAATTGCTTTCACCTTAAGACAAGCTTGAGGGATAAACCCAAGGTAATATTATATACTGTGTGGGCACCTTGAGCACCCTCTGGGCTGGATATCTGCACAGTAAACGTGTTGTTATCAATATAATCTAGTTATTATCATTTTAATTATAATGTAGTGCTATTTTAATCCACACTAATAAAAGTTAGCTCGTGAAAAAGTGCTCAAGTGTGTCATGTCATGCACAGTTTACAATCCTAGTGTTCAAATATATTATTACCCCAGCTTTAGCATGGCTGCCGTTGAGCTCTGATATTATGTTTCTACCAGGTACCCACTAACTTCCCCTGATTATAAATCTTACCTTGATGATCTTTGGTTTGTCGACCTTCTTCTCCTCTCTCTGCCAGTTATTAGCCTGTAGCTTCTCAAGTTCCTTGAATAAAGTATCTACATCCTCCACCTGTAAGAGTGTTTCAGATCATTTTAATCGTTAGCATTTTCCGAAATTCACAGAGCTTTAATTAACATATCATACAGGAAATTAAAAAAGATAATATCATGAGCAAGAGAGAGTGTTATTAAAAATCAGATCAAATGAAAAAAATAGGGCCAGAACAGAGACAAGAAATATGAGGATTCAAGAGAAAGAGAGAGAGACACAGAGAGAGAGAGAGAAAGAGGGGGGGGGGGGCTCAAGAGACAGAGTAAAAGAGAAAAACAGGGAGAAAAAGAAAACTGACCAAAATTTAAAATATTTGGATACAGGGGGGAAGGAAGACAGAAAATATACCACACAACATAACACTCCAGATTATTATGCTGTTTTTCGACCGGATTGAACTAGTTACATTTCCTGTGTTCCACAGTCAATGTTGATTTCTGTCATTCCTTAACCTACCGGTATACTAATTTCAATACACTTATATCTATAAAACTAGATGGAATTCGACTGCGCGCAGTCGAAAATGATGCCTCCGTCATAGAGCAATTTTACAAACCAAAACAGAAGAAATTTTTCGAATTCAAGTTCAATTGTAATCCATTGACAGGTTCTCAGAATATCGTGATTACAAGCAATTTCTCATATACATATATGACCCTTTGATCTTTGACCTCATGACCCTAAAATCTACTCAGTTCATTGGCTCTGCAAGATGTCCTGAGTTAAATAGTAATCCATCTGTCAGTTCTAATGAGAATGCGTTCACAAGCTATTTTTGCATCATAATGAGCCCATGATCTTTGACCTTTGACCTTATGAACCAAGAATCTACTCAGTTCATTGGCTCTGCAAGTAACATACATGACCTAATTTTGGCAGGAATCCATCAATCGGTTCTTGAGATAACGCGATCACAAGCTGTTTTTGCATACATAATGTGTGCTGTGGCCTTTGACTTTTGACCTCATGACCCCTAAATCTAATCAGTTCATCGACTCTGCAAGTAACATACATGACCTAAGTTCGGCAGCAATCCATCAATCGGTTCTTGAGATAACGCGATCACAAGAACGGGACGTACGTACGTACGGACGGACAACCCGAAAACATAATGCCTCCGGCTACTTCGTAACGGAGGCATAAAAACAAGTGTAAGATTGATAAGTGAGTGTCACTGACCTGGAAGTAGATCATTTCCCAGAATCCTTCTAGGTCAGAGCAGTGGGTGACCTTCTCACCGAGTCCAAATTCACAGTTCTTGACGAGGCCTAGGAACTGCTTGAAGCGCTGGTCTATCAGGAGTTTGGCCTTACCGATGGAGCTGCGGATCTCGCCAAGCACTGAACAAAGATACAAAGGGGATGCAGAAGGTATTCAAAACAACTGGAGATTCTTCCAATATTACTACATAGAGATCAAGGCTCATATATTCTTCTAATTCACTTAAACCTAAGACAAAGGCTAAAGTCATATTAAACAAAGGGATCGCTAAGACCTCTGTCTAACTTCCTCTGTTGAACTTGACTTTGTAGTGAGCTTACTTTCAGTTTTAGTTGAATACTAACCCAACAGTTTATACAACTGTAATAGGATGTAGATGAAATAATAGCTTATAAACCTTATCAACTGTGTACTCGTAAAGGTCGTCCAGATATGACGTAGTAAACCGCCGCAAACAAAAACTTTTTGTTTTTATAGTGTAAATTAATGGCAACTGCGTACAACAAAGTTCCTGGGCATATCAAATAAGCTCTGGGTTATTAGATGGGAAATGTCAAGCGTATTTAACTTTACTCAACTTAAAGAAACGGTCGCAGGTTTGCAGCATCATATCTGAACAAGGTCTTAGTGTATATAACGAAAACAAAAGAAAACCAGATGGACATAAAGCTTTACCTTCCTCTGATAGTTTGTTGTCAGACATGATAGTCTCCCAGATGCTGCACCTATCAAGCAGTCTTGTCGTCTCTGATGATACCAGGTTCTTGAAGTACTGCAAATCTTTTTCCTGCACTGGTGAGGCATCTGTGCTTTCTGAGGGTTTCCTGAAGAAAACAAAGGTAAAGGAGAAGAGGAGTCGTAAAATGGGATCTGTTATTGAGTTTGGATTGTGCACAAATCTACTCTGAAGCCTTTTGCACAATCCCATCGATGACTCGATGGATTCTAACCTGGAATCTCATTATGATTAGAAATACAAATATAAAGGGAGTGGATTGTTGGTTTCCATGTGCAGAAGGCCATAATTTCTTACACCAGACTTGGTAGAAATACCATTAATGGTGTACAAGTCTGCACACAGCAAACCCATAGGCCAATCAAGAAATACCCCTTAGTCTCTCAGAGAGTCTTCGGATGAGGGAAAAGTCAGAGCACTACATAAGGCCCATTGGTCATAAAACAGAAGGCTAATCCTGATGATTGACAACACCCATAATTCGGTAAATACTTGGACGGTGTCAAATTCCCCACGAGAGCCCACTACTATGCATCTTTAAAGAGAAGGTTGAGTTCTGGGAAGAGGTGAAAAATAATTTGTAAACTTTATCCTTCTTATTATGCAAGTGTGGAAGAACATCAGATAAGACATGTTCCCTGAAAAGCATGGCTCTTCAAATGCCTTCATATTCTAAATGTGTCATGTAACATTGTAAAACTCGGGGGGGGGGGGGGGGGGGGGGGGGGGGTAGGTTTTTTACGCCACATGTTCGTGTAGTCCCATATACATCTTTCTGTGTACAGTGTTTGTAACTTTACCAAGACTTGGCCAAATTTCTTATCATTTTGATGATTCCAGAACCTTGCAAATGCTAGATGCTAGATGATTAACCTTTTCTGGTCAAAACACTGTTTCTTTCACAATGCAATCGCATGACCAGAATTCAACTTCATCTTTAAACAGTAAAACCTTCCTCGTTGAGATTGCTATATCATGAATATATCATTTGAAATTGTGGCATGTTGCAGGCCTTCTAGACAGAGAAAATTCTTCATTTAGGGATGGTCTTGTAAACTATCAAACTGAGTTTAATTAACCCTTTGCCTACGACACCAGGTGGTCCCTGTATCAAGCCTATGGGACTTTGACAATGCTGTAGTCAACAGGTTAAGAACTGCCTAGCTGACTTCTTACCTCTCTACTGGCTCTCCTGTCACAGCTTCTCCTTGTACATCCGTTTCCGCTTTTGCAGTGTCTTCCGTTTCCATAGCGACCTCTTCCTGAGGCACAGGTGTCCTGAAGGCAAAGAAATCAATCAGTTCCCACAGCAATGAGAAAGCTAAAACATCTAAACTACATATTCAGTGAATTTCTATCTCCAATAATTGCTGTACCTAAATATTTTGTTTAAAAATTCCTTTCCCTGTTTATCAACATCTACAATCAAAATCAGAGAAAGAGAGGGTTAAAATTACAATGTTAACCTGGCGTTGTTTCACAGAACCATCATAAGTACAATTTTGACGACATCCCATTGAAATGTCTGTAAATTTTAATACACACCTTTCAATGGGATGTCGGCGAACTTGAACTTGTACTGTCAAAACGCTGCCCAGAATACGAAATTCTAGCTTTAGTTGAAGTTTATATGCTAGAGAAAAGAGACATGCTAACAATCTTTCTCCCCACAATATTTTCATGATTTTCTTCCAAACAACAATTTTTTTCATTCTCTTTTAGCCTCATTTCTGATGCATATTGATACCACATTTATACAATGTTGAGACAGTTATCATGCAGCTAAGAGATCAATTCAATGTCAGGTCTATTATAAGCTACCATCCAAAAGTTCCTCCTACCTCTCATTTTCAGTAGTTTCTGGCTTATTTTCTGTCTCTGGTTTCACATCACTTTCTGTTTCTACAGGTTTACTTGTGTCCGTTTCCATGGCGAAATCTTCCACCTCTGTCAAGATTGGTTGTGGAGGAATAGGTCCTGAAATGCAGAAAAGAAAATCTTTATTCACATCATCTTGCAAAAGTACTCTGTGGTTTACAATTATTAATGTCTCTTCAAAGTGCTACGCTGGTTTGGGCCAAGCTGATAAACTGCATTGAGAGAGGTGCCTTCAGATAAAAAAAAAAGGCATTGTCTAAATGCAACAGGAAGGGATGTGAACCCTAAATATCGATGACAAATTTGCTGCCAGCCAATCAAATGCCTTGATTCTATAGTAGCTTGTAACAGCTTCTGTAACTTGTTATTGATAACAAGTTATATAAAACAGGGCCCAGCTGATGCTAATTCATGTTCAGAACTCCACAATACTTGGTAAAAAATATGGAACAGCAAGAGTCCAATTGTTGTGGACTTGCCAAACAACAAGTATGTTGCAGATATCCTCTCCTCTTCATCTTAAGAAAATTGTTGTGACTCTTTCCATTGCTATGTATTCTGGCAGCCTATGCTGTACCCCTACAACTAACCTTGTTCTTGCTGCTTGCCTAGTGATCTCAGTGGTCTCAGTGAGTATGGAGTGGAGCATCTACATGGTATTATTGAGAATAGAATTGACTTTACATTACTAGGAAAGTTTAAACATGACTTACATGAAGATTTACATCAGTCAGCTACACAAACAAAAGACATTGGTATGTCCCTTCCCATCAACTGACAACCTGCTCTCAATAGCATTGCATGTTTTTATACAATGCCCACTAACATAATTCAATTACATTTTTAAGAAGTTGCTATGTCAGAAATCTCCAAGCAATGCCATGAAGAGAAGGGTTTCAATGGGCTATACCATATGACAACATGCAATGCAAATGCAATAAGTTACTCAGTGGGTGAGGACATACCACTGTCTTTTGTGAACAGGTGGTCAGTTGATGGGAAGGTACATACCAATGTCTTTTGTTCATCTAGCTGACTGATGAATGACTGGCATGATGATGTCACAAATGTCATTGCTTTTGGAGGGTTTTTTATTAGGGTTGAAGCTTAGCAGGTAGAACAAAAGTAATACAAAAAATGATGTAAAATAAAAAACAAATAAACAAAAAAGTCAAAAGATCAACACAAGTCAACATGATGCACTATCTGAACTAACAGGAGTGAAATGAGATCCGGACCTCTACATGAAATCACCCTTAACATCAATTTTAAAAATTATAACCGATGCATTGAACAGAAGCGAAGCTAAAGTCACCTTCAAAGAAGGGCTTAGTGCTGTGTTGGGCTTTGCAGTAGAGAACGATTAATGTGTGAGCTGGGCTGATGTGATGGTAGTAAAGGGGACGTTGGACTCCTTTGTGAGACCACCTTTAACACTTACAAAAATAGGATGAAAATATGAGCTCACCTTCGCTGAGAGGGTGTTAATGCTGTGTTGGACTTTGCAGTAGGGAAGAGGAAGATTGATGCACTAGCTGGGCTGATGGGTGTGAACGGGAGATCTGGTACAGCCATACTGAATGTGAATCCTTCTGGTCGACCAAAGGTTTCTGCTAGCATTGACGATCCTCTCTGATTGTTTATGTTGAATGTGGCCTCGTCTGAGAGGGGAGATAAAAGAATATAACAAATTACATGAATATGGAATAGGGCCCCTGGTATGTCAAAAATATGCAAAATCCATTCCCCCCTGTATACTTGCCGTGATATGTTTGTATAAATTTTCTTCATGACATTATAGCCTCTAGCGGCCGTATGCATCATTTGTACAAAATTCACAACAGAGCAGCATTTTTGTTCAAATCAGACATTTTCGAGAAAAAAAAACATGGGGGCTCGGGCGAATAAGCCCCCTAAATGCTAAAAAGAGCCCCGAAAGTCATAAAAGAGCCCAAAAGATTTGCATAGAGTTCAATGCAAAAAAAATAAAGAGTGTTATTTTCATGCAAGCAAGCTTGAAAAGTAGCCCCCGACATTTTTAAAGTATTTTTCCCCCTGATTATCATACAATGTAGAATTGTTATACATGTATGTAATTGTGAGGATTCAATGATTATATGATGATTTATTCAAGGAATATTATAGTAAAAAGGGGGAGAGGAGAGTTGGATGGAGATAGGATTCCCCTGGCTTGAGAGATCACCAAAATAACATAGCCTTTACTTCAGATACAGGAGATAAGAGCAGACTAAAAGGACCTTAACCCTATTTAGCCCGGGGGGGGGGGGGGGGGGGGGGCTTTAGAAGCCCCCCTCGTCAGTTTTTGCAATAATTTTTTAACGCAAGAAAATCTTGCACTAAAATTTTGTGACTTTTTTCTTTCGAGTCTTGCGCATCTTTTGAAAGAATTTTTCGAAAATCGTACCTACCATTACGAAGTCACATGTCCTTTTGTCTTTGCATGTCAGCCCGAAAATCGCTCATTTTTGTGATTTGTGTACAAAACATATGGAAATCTCATTTTTCAAATAAAGAGATAAAACATTGGTTATTTGGTCTTGTTTACAGTTAAGGAGTTTATTTTGGGGTCAAAAATAGTTGAATTATAGTTGTAAATGAAATAAAACAACAAAAAAAATAAAATAAATAAGTTAAAAAAACAAAGAAATACATAAGAAATTATCAAAACAATAGATAACATAAGGAATAACCCTGGTTTTTCATTTTTTTTGTGTTGTATTATTATTCCAAATGGTCTAACAAATATATGTAGTGAGAAAGAATGCTTAAATATGAATAATGTCTGATTTATGGGCAAAAAATGTGAATTTGATGACCTTATTTGCATAAATTACCATAAATATGCAAATTACCATAGTATTTTATACACTTCACAAATTTTCGTGGCGATCGGTCGTTTCACGGCCGAGATCATAGGGGGGGGGGGGGGGGGGCCTTAGAAGCCCCCCCCCCCCCCCCCCCCCCCCCCCCCCCCCCCCCCCCCCCCTTGGCTGTGCAGTTTCAAAATAGCCCGGGCTAGATAGGGTTAAATATTAAGCGTTATCTTTGAGTAATATGAGTGAGTGATGCGGGACCCTACCAAACTGCTGATATTATTGCTGACACTCTAGACTTGTCGATCCTTTGATATGCCTTCACAATGGACTGAAGGAATAGGGGAAAGCATAAAATAACATATAAAAAACAAAATACTTACCAATAACTGGTTTTGCAGGCTCCACCTCTAACTCTACATTCTCCTCCTCTACAATCTCCTCCTCTACAGTCTCCTCCTCCTTCTCTACTGCTGGAGCTACTTCTCAACCACTGGAGCGGCTTTCTTCACAACTGGAGCAGGCTTCTCCACCTTGGCCCCCCTGGTGGTGCGACCAGTCTTGCTCTGGGGAGGGGCTGGCTTGGTTGCCAGGCGTGCCGACTGCCTGGTCGTGGGCGGGGCACGGTTGGTTGAGACTGTTGTTCTTGTGCTTGGCATTCTTGATGATGCTGGTTTGGAAGTAGGAGGAGGAGGGGGCCCTCTCCTGGCTCTGGTTGATGGGGCAGGTTCCTGGGGGGTGGTGGGTAAAGAAAGAGATGGTAATCATATGTGAGATACAACACTCCCTGAAGCAGGCGCGTACGCAGGGGGGGGGGGGGGGGGGAGGGGGGTTGAACCCCCCCCTTCCTTTGGTATGTTTTATGTGTGTATTTTGAAGGAAATTAATAAATTATTTTAAAAAAAATTGTGCCAATGGCTGACCTAAAAAAGTAGACCTTACCCCCCCCCCCCAACGGAGCAAAATGTCAATTTTTCAAATTTCGAGACCCCCCCCCCCCCCCCCCCCCCAAAAAAAGGTCTCTTCTTATGGTCAAGTCTTTCAGATAGTGAGTTAAGATGTTGGTGCCAGATGTAAATGATCATTTCTCATTAATATGCGTCTGTAAAAATCCAATTACGCACACACACACACACACACACACATTCATTGCTTACAACTTTCTTGACAGGAGCTCTTGTCCTTGAGGTGTCCTTCACTCCATTGGTTGGTGGCTTTGCTGATGACCTTGTAGATGACCTTGTAGACCTCTGAGGTACTGGTGCTGGTCTGCTAACAGGTTTGCTGACAGGTTTCTACAATGAAATGTAATGAGAAGGTTAATGTTAAAGGTAAAGACCAGTATTGGTAACGCCCCAATTTCAAAAAATGAAATGGAAGCTCTCATTACCAATCATGTGAAAGAATATGTTTTGACTAATACATGATGATAAAAAATTTGCCGGGAAACCGCCTACTAATTCATATATTTGGTAAATTTATTTCTCTCATGGTCGTGTGAGAGAGATAGGGTAGTCCCATATACATCTTTCTGTGTATAGTGCTTGTAACTTTACGAAGAATGGGCCAAATTTCTTATCATTTTGATGATTCCAGAACCTTGCAGATGCTAGATGCTAGATGATCAACCTTTTCTGATCGATTCCACAACGTTTCTTCACAATGCAATCGCATGACCATTACTGGTCTTTACCTTTAAAGATAAATTTGAGTTCTGGTCATGCTATTACATTTCATGAAATGACTGTCTGGATGCAATTAGGAAAGATTGATTATATAGAACATAAGAACTGCATTGGGCCTATTTTCACAAAACTTGTCATCAGTGCCAAATGAGAGTTTTTGTTTAATATTATAAGCTAGTGAAATCCTTGCTTCTGATTGAATATCAGCAAATTTGTCAATGATTTTTGTCATTTGTCATTGGAAAAAGGCTTTGTGAAACAGGTACATGGTGTCTAATGTGAGGTTTTGGAATCAGCAACATCAGGAGAAATGGACTCAATCTTGCTGAAAGTTACAGGCACACAGAAATGGGTATATGGGACTACACTCATATGTTAGCGTGAAAATTAATTGGTTCAATTTCATAGTTGTTTCTAGTCTCCTGTCTGATATAAGGGCATTTAAAGAGCAATCCTTTTCAGGAGGACATTTCTACTATGATATTCTAATTCCAATTCTTCTATACAGACATAAAATGAATACTACTTGGTCTCACAAAATAAAAGAAATATAACAAAAATAAAAGAAAGATTGAGGGTGCGATTTCAAGTTTCCATTTCATGAGACACTCTATACTCACTGCTGCTGGTTTGGCTGCAGACTTGGTCTTGTTTTTTGAAGACATGAACAGATTTGCGTCTTCTTTGTGGTCTAGCTTCGACACTTTGAACACCTGCAAGTCAAGTCAGATCATCAAAAATGGTAAAATTCATTGTAGTAAATGATGAACAGTTTATAATTTTGGGGTTTTGTTCTCAGTTTGTACCAATTGTTTACATTAAAGTCTGAAGCTACACATGGTATAAGCATGTCTGCCAAATGTAAAAAAAAACATAATAATATTAAATTGAGTAACAACTGAACTTACTGAATGAAGGACAGCATTGCCCACACCCCCAAAGGGGGGGGGGCACCCTTTTTAGGGTTAAGAGTAAGACTCATTCAGACATGAGGCAATGCATTGAAATATGGTGGGGCAAAATGAATCATAAGTGTAGTATGCTTCACAAATTTTCTGCATCATATAGTGCATAATAGTACAATGGGAGCACTGAGGTATATTTGTGAAGGATCTCGACCTCTTACAAGAAGTCCATGGTTCGATCATCATTGAATAGGGTGTTTTGTCCACATTTTCTCCTCTCCATGCACCCAGATGTCTGAAATGAGTGATAATAATTGCAGGGCGTACAGTAAAAGCAGAAGTAATTACTGATGTGGCTAGTTATCCTGGGTAAATAAAATCAAAGTATTATTTATTATCATAATTCAGTAATTACATAGAGATGCCACTGTTGTGATTAGCTGTGTGCGTAATGGATATATCTGTTTAACTCCAAGATGTTATCAGCGCTTGCCATTCACTCACAGAGTTTAGGGAGAATCACCTTTGTTCGTATATAACTTTTTGACTGGCATTTCAAATAACTTACCTGTGGTTTGGCTTTACTAGCCATCTGTTTTCTTTTCAGTTCTTTTTCCTCTTTCCATTTGTTGAGTTTGTCTCTCCTGCTCGTAGCAGATGCTGGAACGGCAGCCTTGACTGAGGGGGCCGAAGAGGACTTGTTGTTTGCTCCATTACCGGGACCTAGAAAAGAGGGGGATTGTACATGTATTCCAATCCATGATGAAGTTGAGGAAGGGGTTGTGGGGGTGTGGAGGGGGTGGACGGATTTGTCCAATCTTGACATTGTGGCACTGTTTTTAAAGAGGACCTTCAAATAAAGTTGGCTTAATTGGCAGACAGAAAAGCAGAGAAAAATATTAAATGAGGTTCAGAAAAAAATTGGACAAAGGTTGAAAAGAATTTCTGTACCTAATGTTAAAGTATCAAGAAAAAATAGGGACCTGTTCAGTCACTAAACAAGAAATTGATATATTTTAATACTTTTTTTGCACAACATATGAGACAGCCATTATTATTTTCACATGTATTTAAATTAAGAGAAATGATTACTGATTATGATTGGCTGTTGTTTGCTTGTATTGATGTAGACTGTCGTAAACACTAAACTTGATAAACTATACACATTTACCCAACACCCTAGTCATTATTTTCAAATGTATTTTAATTGCATGAGATTTTCAGCTGTCAATGAATCTAAAAATATTCACATAAGCCAAAAACGGTAGAGGATATCCAACCCTCGCTTCCTTACGTTTGATATTACATGTATGTATAAAGTATTATATTCCACATACTAAGAATCTTGCTCTACGATTGGTCATAAGTAAATCACGTGAATGACGTGATCAAAGATAGTTCGCCCATCATTGATGGGAGAAGCAAAAAGTTCGTTGCCCTTTGTAGATAGTACTACTATCTACAAAGGGCAACGCACTTTTACTCAAGATAGAGGTACTATCTACAAAGGGCAACGCACTTTCACTGAAGATCATCCAAAAGCGCACTAAAACAGGCGTAATTAAGCGCGCATTACCAATGAGCGCAATTAAAGCAAACACATGCGCGCACCATACCCTCAAGGGGTTGTGTTAAACTTTTACCTTTTTTGGTGTGAATTTGGGCCTGATGTCTTTCATGTAGATGCATACACGTCCTTTTCTTGTTGTAGTTAAATTGTTTTAGATGTGGAATATAAAGCAAATAATCACCTTTTGGTTTCAGGCGATGGCAAACTATCACTTCCTCGTCGATCAGAATGTATACGCTATCTTTCCTCAGCTTCGCTTCGGAAAGATAGCTACATCCAGATCGACTCGGAAGTGACAGTTTGTCCCATCACCTTCACCAACGGTAGTTATTTGCTTACTAACCAAGAACAGCTTGAAGATTACCAAGTAAATGCCAACCCTCGATCACCTTTCTTTCTTACCCTTTTTGGCTTTGAGAGGAGCTGCCGTTGGTGGTGGCATGGCTGCTTTTGATCGATCTTCCTTGACTGGGGAGAATGCTAACCCCTCCAGGTTTCCCATTGTTCTGTTATCCATGAAGCCCATCCCCCTCACACTCCTCTGGTCGATGGATCTTCTGTGCAGCCGGGGCAAACTTGGCATCCACGGTGGAGCCCTTCTTCTTGAAATAGTCTGCTCTGTCCATTATCACTGTATTAGTACGCAGTCAGAAGTAGACCTAAATAACAATTTTTTGGGGAAAAGATGGTACACCTACAAAAGTAAATGATCAAAATCTAACAATTCCATGTGGGTCCAGGAAATAATCGATGAGGGAAAAGAATCATGATGCATAATGCATGCATGTCATGTAGAATTAAATCTATCATAAACTTGATCTAAACTTTTGTCATTTGATTAAGAATAGTCTCTGGTTTAGTTGACAATGTTTGACAGCTCTTTATATCTGACTCTCAATCTCTAAACAAAAAAAATCAGTATATTTCATTCAGGGATGTGTTTAGCTGAGACCATGGGCGTAAATCCTTACGTAATACCTATTGTTCAGGGGGGGGGGGGGGGGTGATCTATTCATTCATCCCCCCCCCCCTGAACAATAGGTATTACGTAAGGATTTACGCCCATGGCCGAGACTTTACCTGAAAGTGTCAAAAGACAAAATATTTTTTAAAAATTCTTTGACTCAAAGCACAGTAATAACTTAGACCAAAAGCTTCTGTCTCTGAAATCAATAATTATTCCTTTTAAACTACATCTTGCTCCACTGAGCGCCTCTATACAGAGAATGAAGTACGTTGTACAGGTTAGTGAAGGGAGGTTACGCAATGCAGTTTGTGTGTGACTGCCAATAAAGCCGATCTCATGCGCACTTGCGCAGTAGTTTATAAACAAAAAATGGAGAGTAGATAGCTGACTGTAAGTCCTTATATTGATATGTTTTTAATACAATGATTTACATTATTGTTATAGGATATGAAAATTAAATCTATTTTCTTTCCAATAATTATTTTTTCTAAATCAAACCGAAAAAAATGTCAAGGGATTCAATACAGGGAAAAAATTAATATTTATTTTTCGGGGGCTACTTTTCAACCTTGCCTGCATGAAAATAACATTCTAAAATTTGTTTTGCATTGAACTCTATGCAAATTTAAGGGGGCTCTTTTCTGATTTTCTCTTTTGGGCATTTCAGGGGCTATTTCGCCCTGAGCCCCTGTGTATTTTTTTGCACTGATTCAATAATACCTTCAACTTATCTTTGCTACGCCTGATACAAGATGATACATTACTCCCATCTAATAGAGCCAAAGGCCCAGGCTAGAGTCAAGACTGATTTTTTAAAACTTGAGATCAAACTTTGAGTTGGCTTTGTCTTTGAGCAGACGCGTACTAAAAAATGAGAATCGTCCTCATTTTCGCGGACGATTCTTATTTCTAGGGCTGTGCTCAACAGTGTAATGAGGTACCCGAGTACACTCCCAGGCTCACAGGCGAATACTCGAATATTCGGACGCCATGTTTTTTTAAATTTTTTTAATTTTTTTTAATTTTTTTAAATTTTTTAAATTTTTTTTTTTTTTCTTTTTTGCCACTACCATACCCTCGGCAGTTTCTCAGGTCCCTCGCTGAAAATGCATGCAACTTTACTTTGAGTTGCAGTTGAAGGCGCCGATTTAAAAAGAATAATAACAGTAAACAATGCTGTTTTAAAAACCAAAGATGGCAGAATAATCCATTTGCTCCAAGTCCGAACAGAAATCTGGACATTTGGTCCCAGTTTCTGAAAGGTGAGTTTGAAAGTGCTTGAGTTGGGAAACATTTTTACCGATAGTACCATGCCAGCGGATGCCGCTCTCCCTGGCACGGGTAAGCGTGGGCCTGGAAATTTTTTTTTTTAATTTTTTTTTTTTTTGCGGCCGAATATTCGGGTACGAGAAATCGTACCCGAGTAGTTGTCAACCGTGCGGGTACTCGAGCATTCGACTACCCCTCGCAGCCTTACTTATTTCCGATCCGCGCGTTGGCGATGCAAAAAACGGATTCAGCGATGATCCTCCTCGATGCTTTTTACATTCACTTTGCACAGAGACTTTAACATAATGAATGATAAAATCCGGGGAAGATGGGCAACCCATGAAAGTAGACAGGAAACTGGGGCTATTTTATTACGCGTAATCTCTTTTCACATTAATTGCCAACCCACAGATTGGGAACCCTTCACCCGCAGAGCGCTGAAGAAAAAAAAAATGCAGACGATCCTCATTCTCTGACCAGCGCCCCTAGCCTACTCACCCACTGTTGAGTTTACTCTGTCAAGTCTGTCACTTGTCAAGTTTTCAGATCTAGACTATTTGTTATGATACTCTCTCTCTCGTCACTCCAGCAAAGCATAGCCATAGACTAGACCGAAAGCTTCAGTCTCTATACCGTCGGTTGTTCCACTGAGACTACGTCTGGCTCCACTAGACCTCCGGTTATAGAGACAGAACGATCGCCTATGCCAGCCTATGTTGAAGATATCACGGCTAGATTTTAGCCGTTAGGCCCCTCCCACAAACATGAACAAACTTGCCACGGCCGTATTGTTATGCCCCCAAAATGTCATTTTACCTCGTGCATATCCAATTTTACATTAGGCCTAGGCTATAATACATCGGTTCCACTTACTAACTTGATTGAAATAATCCGTTTAATGGTCCCTTTTAAGGAAATTATGGGTCAAAATCGACATCCATGTTGAAAATCTTGCAAGCCGTGTTAAACTCTCGCTGCTGTCAATCTCATTCCTTCTAGTCTACGCCGAAGGCAAAAATGATTATGAAGGAAAAACTGTGATAACGCCATTACGAACGTGTAGATGGCGCACAGTTTTTAAACGGATTATTTCAATCAAGTTAGTAAGTGGAACCGATGTATTATAGCCTAGGCCTAATGTAAAATTGGATATGCACGAGGTAAAATGACATTTTGGGGGATTTGGGGGGGCATAACAATACGGCCGTGGCAAGTTTGTTCATGTTTGTGGGAGGGGCCTAACGGCTAAAATCTAGCCGTAATATCCTCAACATAGGTTGGCATGGGCGATCGTTCAGTCTCTATAACCGGAGGTCTAGTGGAGCCAGACGTAGTCTCAGTGGAACAACCGACGGTATCTAGAGACTGAAGCTTTCGGTCTAAGCCATAGACTAGAGAGTCAATGTAATGCGTATTGACCGAGCTAGCATTGCACTACGTGTTAAAGGTAAAAAATGATTGCATTTGCCTAGGACTAGGTCTAGACCCTAGGCCTAGATAGATCTAGTCTAGACTCTAGATCTATTTCATTTGTTTCTTTTTCGGCGGATTTTGACTTTTCTCAAACTTTTTTCTTAGAATTTAGAAAATATCTAGATCTAGGTAGGTTCCCTATTGACCGCGTGAGGGCGATATTGCAAAATCACCCTCTCACTGCATTGGACTCTTTGTCACCAGCGAACGTGCTTTTGTGCAGTGTGTGCCAATACGAGGGGCGGATGAATTTCACTTTCTTTATTTGTGATTCACCTCTCATGAATATTTATAAGCACTTACCTTATTTGGAAAACTTTACGAAGCTTCTGACATCAGAATCACAGTCAACCCGATCTGTCTTTGCCTTCAAATCACCTTTCAGCTCAGTAGAAAGTGCAATTTTGACCGTGTATGAGCGATTATTTGTGCTGTTCTTATGAAATGAACTATGAGACCGGTAGGGACCACCTTAAAGTGTGGTATTATCGGAAAGTTATGTAATTTGTGATTGAATGTTGACAACTCCAGAGGCCCACACCCTTCAGCGATAGAACATACCAGTGCTAATGATGCCCTTCCCGCCCCGGCCGGGTTCAATTTTGAGAGATTTCGCGTACGGAAGTGGGCAGTTAGTGGCAGTGCCATTTTTGGCCAAAAAAAAAAACTCTTTATTAATTAAATTTTGTGATTTAGGGCAAGTTCTCAGTGAATTTGCTTTTCATATATAATGTATAAGATAAATCAGTATACATCTATCGCCATTACGGGAATTTTAATTGGAATTTTATTTTTTCATAATTATGACTAATCTAGGTCTAGATCTAGATCTAGATCTAGATCTACCTAGAGTCTAGATTACTAGAAGTCTAGATCTAGACTAGAAGTCACTAGATCTACACAGAAATAGGAAAGGCAAACAAAACAACAGCCACGGTCAAATTCATGATTTATATTTATTGCATTTTCCATTGGCACGAATCATTGCAAACATGACAAATTCCAACTTCGGAAACACTACAGAATAATGGGCTATTGGGACTACACGACAGAACAGTCGGGCAAAACTATTTTCTAAATGATCACACATAATACTAAAAGTCCTCATTTCACCTGGGGGTATACATGATACAAATCGAATTGCTTTTTGCCGACATACTTACCGAACTTTACTTTCAAATACTGCTAATCTTGGGTGAATTAGAGGATAAAAGACATCTGTCCTGTGGAATGTGATTTGAGCTGTGTTCCTGTTAATGTGCGAATGAAACTGTGCGGCAATTTAAATTGTACGGTCTTTCCTCGCTCGTCGCTGATTGGTCGAATCGCGACGAATGGCTAGTTCGGGTAGCTGAGCTTGATGGCGCTGAGCGGATCTGTGGGTCGGGCTATAGCCCCACCCCCCCCCCCCCCCCCCCCCCCCCCCCCCCCCCCCTCCCACCCCCCCCACCTGGCGGACCTAGGATCTAGGAGGGACCGGGGCCCCTCCCCTTGCCCCCCAAAAAAGAGATAATTTAACCTTTTTTTAATAAAAAAGAAGACGGGCCCCTCCCCCTGGCGCAAGGGGGGGGGGGGGGGAGGGGGGGGGGGGTTGTTGATTTAAAAAAAAAAAAAAACAGTGCTCCTTACCACCCCCCCCCCGCTTATTCGCCGGAGGCTGACTCGCCGCTAAATATTTTCTCACATCGAACTAGCAGCACTTGGTTCATTAGGCCTAACAAAAAAAAAGATGTTGTATTGCCCTTTTCGACCGATCCCAAAATCTTTAAATCTACGGTCGGCTTTTTAATATTTTTTTAAACTGTTTTTGGAGAGAAAAAAAAATAACAAAACATTCAAGTCTGAAAAAAGTCAGTTCAAAGAGGGAGAAAGAAAAAGATTTCCGACCGACTGACCCACGTTTTGGCACCTAAAGGGCAAGAGAACATCTTTTTTTTAAAGCTAAATATATATGTTTTCAAATTACTTCTGAAATGTTCATATGTTTCTATTCGGGCAAAAGTATATAAAAACAGCACTGGCTGCACATGAATAATTTTGTCACAATTTGAGGATTACCTGGAAGTTCTTGAACGCAGATTCTTTCTGGTTAATGTATTAATGATGGCTATGATATATGATAGAGCAAGCCATTGAAAAATCCATAAGTTATAAAAGTACTTTAAATTTGTTATGAGTAATTTCTAATAATGAATTTTAAGTCGAACCCCCCCCCTCCCCCCCCCCCCCCCCGTCCCCCTTATGATGATAATCCCGTATGTCATCCGCTGCAGTGCGTGGTTTTTCTTATAGGGCCTGCTATCTGGCTCTCCTATCTGTGATTTATTATCATCATTTTTTGGTTGGTTTTGTTTGACATTTGTAATTTTTGTAAGTTTATCCCTTGTCTCAAAGAAAATTGAAACCAATAGCCGTTGAAATTTGAATGATGAAAGGTGGTTATTAATTTAATTAGGCTTAGCCTACATGTGTTTGAAATCATCAAAAACAAATTGACTTGTCATGATCAGAATTTACCTATGTTAACTTTCCTCGCTTATATTACAGGTAATAAATACAAATATTAATTGACTATATAGTATAAGAGAGATAGAGAGAGAGAGAGGGGGGGGAGAGGGAGAGAGAGGAGAGAGAAGAGAGAGAGAGAGAGAGAGAGAGAGAGAAGAGAGAGAGAGAGAGAGAGAGAGAAAAGAGAGGGAGAGAAAGAGAGAGACTGAATGAAAAAGAAAGAAACTCAATGAAAGAGAGGGAGAGAGTAGAGGAAGAGAGAGAGAGAGAAGAGAGGGAGGAGGGATGGGGGAGGTGGGGGTGGCTCAAAGCGAGCCATTCCTCGATTGTCTGCGATTGTAATCTTCTTCTTCTCCTTTTTTTCTTCTTCATTAAGATCGGATAAAGGAGCATAAATTAAAGCAGCTATAATGAGATTCAACTCTGGATGAGCATAACATCATTATTAGCGCTAAAAGCAAGCTAGCGCAAGCTGGATAAATTAAAACAGCGCCACCTCTTGAACACAGAATTCATTTATCTCTGGAACTTAATTACTTTTTGCAGATTTTCAGCTAAATGACATAAATGGCAGAAGTTGCATCAGGTTCAGACTGTTCACGATCTGTCGAGGATTGTGTTTGGGCAAGCAGCTTCAGATATGCCAGCTATTTTGAAATAGAGCCCAAGAAACAGGTGAGTTTTTAAGTTGCTAAATATCTTGACTGTTGTGAGCTGGATGGAGCCGACACGGGCACCAGGCCGAGGCGAACGTGGCCGCCGCGGCTCTGGCTGACCACACTCTGCACTGTCCGCTGGCTCGCTAGACTACAACGCTCGAGTCACTAGACAACTGATAGAATATGATATTGATATTACATATTGATACCTAGTGTCATTATCGTGAAATAGGAAACCATCATTTGCCCCATACAGTAGCGATAGCGCTATTGTATTGGCATTGCCATAGCCTTTCCCATCCCATATGATTGGGGGGGGGGGGGGGTACAGACTCTTAACAAAAATAGAGGCCTCATGTTTGATTTAGTAATTTACAATAACTAGTTTTAGCACTACCGGTAACCATCATGATTTTTTTAATGAATATGATATTGTCTAGGACGTAAGTAAGACTAAGTTACATGTTTTTTATTGCATGTAAATTAACTTCTTCAACAAGATCTACGTCAACTGTCCGGATACACAACCTGTCTGGAGTCTCTGGATACACCATGTCTGGGTATACATGTGTAAATATTTCTATGCTGACTATAATGAGTACGAGCTAGACTTTTACTCACCACTGTCTTTTGTTGTGTAGAAACTTGAGAGTGATCCTATATATGTAGTATGAAGATGACAATGGCGATCGCAATGTGTGTTGATCAAATATACAATGTCGAGTGTAACACGTTGAAGAAGAATTGTAGAAATTGACACTCCTAAATGTTGGGGAACAGAGGGAGTGTTCGTAGTAAATGTCCCCGACGACTATATACAAAATACTAGACTGAGACTGAGAGAAGTGGAATGTAGTTGTGGAAAGACTTGGTAATATAAACGCTATCTAATAACCGGAGGCCTCGGCTAAAGTACGAGAAGCGGATCGCGTTCTTCTAAAGTTGTGGCAAAAATGAAGTAACGTAAATATAAACACCCTCGGGCTAGCACAAGCGTAAATCAAATATGCTAGCCCAGGAAGAAAGTACACGAAAATAACCACTGGCGCGTTGTAAATAAACCGCGTATTCCAAGTGAAATAAGTGTCAGAATTGAAGTCACGAGATGTCGAGTCGCGAAAAGAAAACAAGCAGTTCGCTATTAACAGTTGTCGTGAAGAAATCACAGGCGTGTACTAGTGGAAATCCAACGGAAAACGCTACACTATGTCGCCGTAGCTGCTGGATGAAAAATCGCGAAGATCGCTATAAAAGTGAATCAATCCAATACGTGATGATCTTACGAGATCATGCAGGCTAAGTCACGAAAACCCCAGCTCCGTGGCGAAAACGTGACCAGCGGAAACTGTGATTGGTCACATTACGAAAACAAACCATGGCGACGAGATATGTGAAGGCAGGTGCCAAAATGTGTCAAGAATGTGAAACGTACGACATCGCAGGAAAACTGCATAAATTATCAGCGTAAATTTCTCAAAAAGTTGTCGGCACAACAAGGCAATATCAAAACATTACATAAAGTTCGTTGACACTATAATGGAGCATAAATTCACTACATATAGTCCCCCTCTAGATTGTTGCTTGAGAAGATATGAAAAAGGAAGCAATCGATGAAGATATCAAGTAGTGTTCAACTCACTGCAAAATACTGTACAAAACGTGCAGGCCAATGAACGTGTCTCCCTGACCTGGTCGTCTTCACTGGAGGAGGAGTAGGCGTTGGAGAAACAGGAGGCGTACATCCTTCCAAACGTGATGTAGGAGCCTTGACAAGAGGAGGAGCCTTGACGGGAGGAAGAATCTTGTCAGAAGGAGGAAACTTGTCAGAAGGAGGAACCTTAGAAAACTCTGAATCGATGTATGCCGGCTTCAGTCTGTCGACACTGACACTACCATGTTTTCCACGCACATCGAGAGTGAAAAACTTGTCAGAACGCTAAGAATCTGAAAAGGACCATCATACGGAGGTTGTAGCGGCTTCCTCACAGCATAATGTCGCACAAAAACATGTGTACAAGTAGATAAATCAGGAAAACTGCATAAATTATCAGCGTAAATTTCTCAAAAGTTGTCGGCACAACAAGGCAATATCAAAACATTACATAAAGTTCGTTGACACTATAATGGAGCATAAATTCACTACACATGTGCATGTACATGTATGAGCATAAATCACAATCAGTTTTCAATTTTGACTAAGGGGCTAGATAGGGCCATATATAATTGCTATGTTTTTTTTTCTTCTTCAATGTTTTTCCATTTTGTCTCCCCTTTTCATCGTGCTTGTAGAGTCAACACTTAGAAGAAGAATTGAAGAGATGCTGACCAAACTTGATGAGTTTTGTGCTGTGGTGGACATGGTGAGTACAAGGCAACATCGCTTTTTCCTTGTTTCCATTGTTGCGTGCTTAAAACCACTGATGGTAAAATTGTTTTTACTCCCAAATGGTTACTTGGTCCAAAATGCTTAGAATACTGGTACATGACATTGACATTGACATACATGTACATGTACTGTACCTGTCTGAATCGCAATGTCTGTGATTTTTTAGCCATTCGCTGTAGGATTTATGTGTCAGAGTCAGAGACATTTAGGGCTAGAATTTTATTTAAACTTTTAGGATAGGTTTAACATTATCGTTTTGGGGTTACGGTAGCATAAGGTTGGGTTCAGGAATGAAGTTAGGGACTCCGGTTAGTGCTAGAAATTGATTGCAAAGCAGTTGTGGCCTGAGCATGTATCATACAACCACACATAGTGCATTACTATCCTGGCTGTGTATTAAAAGCTGTGCTATTGATTCTCAACATTTCAAACACCACTGTACAAAACTCAACTGATTTCATTCAAAATCGGTACTTTAGTGACGATTGATCTCACCTAAATAGCAGTGAAATACAATTTTTGTCAACTTCCCGATGTTAGAAAGAATAACTTAAAAATGCAAATTGTGAGTCCACTGTCAAACTTGCCGATCAGCCCGCATCAGCATGATTGTGTGCATCTGTGTGTTATGAGTATATTGACTATTCATGTATTCAAATGCTGCCTATCAACACGTAGTGCAGTGCTAGAGGTCAATACGCATTAGCATTCACTCTCTATGCTTTGCTGGAGTGCATACAACCTTTGACCCGAGAACTCAACCTGCTCTGCTTCTATTTTCTTCTAGGTTAGAACAGATTCATCCCTTGCCTTGAACAGAAGTCTTCCAGAGATTCATAACAAAGCTAAGAACATGGAGAAAATCTTCACAAGGATTGACCAACTGGAGGTAAGTAGGGGGGCAGTCAGCCCGCCCCCACCAAGAAAAAGGAAAAAAAGAAGAAGATAACACACAAGGAAAAGGCTGATTTGACCCTAAGATCTTTAAAATGACCCTGTAGATGAAAAAGAGCCACTCGTAAAAAATGTGAATGTTGTCAAAAGTGATAATGCATGAAGTTGCTCATGCAAAGAATGTTACCACATATGACATTTGATTTGATCATGGGTACATGAAATGGCGAAGTAATTTTATTGAGGTAATTCAACATTTCTGGGTGTAATTTAATCTACCCCCATGCAGAACTAAAAGCAGAACTGCGTAAAGTAAATTATCTGTGATTTGTCCATGAGTCTTCAGTCCTGAACATTTAAACTCTGTCTCTAAAAGTTATCAATGTATTAAAAAAAAAAAAAATTCTATCCCTAAGCTAGAGCTAAACTTTGACTAGTCAGTGACCCTGTAAGTTCCAACCATTTTAACCCCTGCCTCCAAAAAGTAGGAATAATGGATATTAAGGTTGTCATATTTAAAACAGAAACAACTTAAAACACTAATAAAAGAAATAGATGGACGCCCGCCAAGCCTAAAAGATATGATATACCGTAGTAGCCTTCTAGCAGCTTTAACATGTATCTCAAATTGACAATGGTTATAGACCTCCACGTACTGTTCCTTTAAAAGGTAAAATGATGGATGAGCTTGCGAGAGTCATAAGTTCAGGGAAGTTTACTATGTTCTTTTTATGTTGCAGGAATTTGTATCAGTTGTAAAAAAGAATGTTAATGCCTATGAGGAACTTGTCAACACCGCAGAGAAAGACCTTGGGACTCTGAATTCCATCAAGTCACTGTTCAGCTCATTACCACTGTTTTCAGTAAGTCAAACATTGTTGAGAATTTTTGTTTCATCCAATAAATATAAAATGTATACCGGTAAGCTTTTGTCCTCAAGTTTTCTGTGGTAAGTCTGAATAAAAGAAAACATAAAATACTATTGTCAATTTAGAGCGAAGCTTGCATTTGTTATTTTATTCGACAAGAATGTGTTTAAAGGAATATTGATCCCTTCAATTAGCAGTCCCCATGGTTACATATATGAGACTTATGTGTTCATGGTTCTTTCATCAATTAAAAGAATTGAAAACAATGTATCATAACAATGTTATGAAAATATTTTCCAGCTTGAATTTAATTCTAGATATGTTTTGGTCATATTCCAAAGTGAGCTTTTGCTGGTCAGATGGAGGAAGTATAATCTTAATAGTCTTTTGGGATAGGTTACATGTACTAAACTAAATCATCAGGAATCAAACTCTTCTGACTGATGTAATTAAATTGAGATGAAACCACTTAACCCTATCTCGCCCGGCATGTTTTGCGATAATTTTTAACGCAAGAAAATCTTGCACTGAATTTTGTGATTTTTGTCTCGCCTGCGTAGCAAAAAGCGAGACATAGGCGCCGCTTTTCCGGTGACGGCGGCGGCGACGGCGACGGCGACGGCGACGGCGACGGCGACGGCGACGGCGACGGCGTCAACATCAAAACTTAACCTAAGGTTTAAGTTTTTGAATTTTTGGTATAATTTTTAAAGTATAAGTTCTTAGTCAATGAAACTTGGACTATAGGGTAATCGAGTATCCCCCATCATGTGAGTAGAATTTCAGGTCACTAAGTCAAGGTCAAGGTCATTTCAGGTCAACAGACTTGGACTATGTTGTAGCATCATCATCAAAAACTTGACCTAAGGTTAAGTTTTTGAATTTTTGATATAATTTTGAAAGTATCAGTTCTTAGTCAATGAAACTTGGACTATAGGGTTATCAAGTCTCCCCAATCATGTGAGTAGAATTTCAGGTCACTAAGTTAAGGTCAAAGGCCATTTAAGGTCAACAAACTTAGACTTTGTTGTGGCATCAACATTAAGATTTTCAAAATGCTTCTTCTTCGTTATTTTTCAACCGATTTTGATTCTGATTGTTTCATATGATAGGGCTAGGATGGGATTTAAAATTTCTACACAGAATCGTGAAATTCATTATCTATGCTAATTTATGCAAATTTATTCGAAATCACAAAAAAGGCTTCTTCTCCTTCATTTCGACCGATTTTGATTTGGTTTGCTTTATATCGTAGAGCTAACTTTGGTACACAAAACTTCTACACAGAATTTTGAAATTATTCTCCATTAATTAATTATGGTAATTTATGCAAATTTATTCCAAAAATACAAAAATTGCTTCTTTTTCCCCTCATTTCTTGACCGATTTTTGCCTTATCTGGTAGAGCTAAATTTGGAACAATAAACTTCTACACAGAATTGTGAGATTTTGCTCCATTGATTATTTATGGTACTTCATGCAAATGAAATGAAATTATGTCCCTTCCAGGGCATCAATTTCTATTTTTTGACCAGTTCAAAAGTGGACCACATAAAATTTACGATATTTGTTGTTGTGAGATGCGGATGAGCGCTACGTCATTGACGTTCTGGTTTATCATATTGAATTGCGTTATGCAGGCGAGACCGCCGAGAGCGTTTCCCTTGTTTTCTTTCGAGTCTTGTGCGCATCTTTTGAAGAATTTTTTCGAAAATCGGACCTACCATTACAAAGTCAAAGTTAAAAAATCGCTCATTTTTGTAATTTGTGTACAAACCATATGGAATCTCATTTTTCAAATAAAGAGATAAATCATTGGTTATTTGGTCTTGTTTATAGTTTAGGTGTTTTTATTTTGGGGTCTAAAATAGTTGATTTATAGTTGGAAATGAATAAAACAACAAAAACCGAGATCAAAGGGGGGGGGGGGGCCTTAGAAGCCCCCCCCCCCCCCCCCCCCCCCCCCCCCCCCCCCCCCCCCCCCCCCCCGGCTATGCAGTTTCAAAATAGCCCTGGCTATTAGGGTTAATTAGGGTTAATGTTTCATGCCATACTGTGATAAAAATTATTTAGATTGTACCATTTGAAGAGCCAAACAACTGTTACTCAAATCATCAATTTGCTTGATCATGCACACCAAAGAAGATTTGATAATTGAAATAATATTCTGAGCTTTACAGTTGTCATTACCCTGGTTCTCGGATTCACAGTTATGGCATATCATAATATGACAAATACAAATAATGCTTTCGTCATTCTACCAGGTCCCATTTCTCTCCTGAGTATGGAGTGGCAAATGTAAATTAATGCCTTGCCAATTCTATTTCTCAACAGAAAAAGGTAGCAACCGCCACCACGCAGAAGAAGTTTGCTGCGCCTGAAGTCTTTTCCACCGGTGACTACATCACCAAATCACCCACACCTACAAGTAAAATGGAAGGAGACTCGTAGTGGTAGCTCTCATTAGTTTGTCTTGTTTGAAAATGTGTTCTTCCAGAGTTAGACCTGGGGGTGTTTCACAAAGATCCTAAGTTGGACTTAACAATTATGGAAAGCCATTAGCATGTTTAAAAATGATTTGTAAAAGGTATTTTTAAACGGCATAAAATGTTGATTCAAATTATTTACATGTTCTTTCATCATGGAAGATTTCATGTCCTTGATGTGGAATTTATGAAAAGTCTAAAATACTTGAATTTTGCATTTTAATATATTTTATTTTAAGGCTACAAATGGCTCTCCATATTGTTTAAGTCCAACTTGGAGTTAAGTTTGACTTGGGATCTTTGTGAAACACCCTCCTGTACTGTTTCATGAAATACTCAGTACTCTTATACAGTCAAACCTGTCTACAGCAACCACCCAAGGGAAACACAACAAGTGGCCTTTGTAGACAGGTGGTCTTTGTAAACAGGTTCCTTTAGTACATGATTCAATGAGAAACCATTTTCAAGGGAAACAACAAATGTGGCCTTTGTAGACAGATGGTCTTTGTAGACAGGTGGTCACTAAAGCAGGTTTGACTGTACTTGTAGATTTTACTCAAAATTAGCGTTGTGAGTTTTTATCAAATACTTTGATTTGGCTTGTGCTGTCCATCCTCTATTCATCTTCTCCCAAAAGTGAGAAGTGATTTCATTCTGTTTGTTCTACCTGAAGGAGCTTGCTGTTATTGTAAATGCACTGTAGCTTCCCCAAGGTTTGCATGACATAAAATGGATAATCTATGCAAATTTATAATGGAAATGGGATTTTAGAAATCAGAAATGCCATTGGACACTTGGGAAATTGTGTTCACAATAACTTCACATTACAGTAAGCTAAAGATAGGTATTTGAGAAAACTCAAATAATGTATTTATGTTGATGTTAAATGTAGATGAGTAAGTAACCATATTTGTTAAAGAATTATGACCATATGCCAGATTGCCAGTAAATCATTATAACATGTGGCATATTGACGGAGCTTAATCATTTTTCTCAGCAGTAGACCAACTCTGAGAAATTGATGGATCTTGTTCATTAAATGTTGTACATTTTTATTTCTAGGCAGCCTAGAACATGGATCACATATTCTTAAGCTTTTCCAAATTTCCTTTTTATGCAAACTTGATGGTACACAAATATTTCAAGCTGTGAGAGAGCATCGAGGAAATCATTCATCTGAGAAGGGACTGCCATAGTACTATAGCAGTTCCTCTGAAGATATATAATTTACACTATACTTTCGGACTAAATGCTTGGTATATTTGTTTTATATCTCTTCTTTACAACTAATGATTTATTTTTATTTTTTAAAGACAATCCAAACTGATTAGCCACCAGATGATCAGGAATGAGCGCTATATAGCGAGGGGCTAAAGTACCAGTGACTTGCGCCTATACTGTGGGCGGCAAGGTTATGAGCAGTTCGTATAAAGACTCGTTCAGCGGGTCGTCTGCGTGTTCAAATTTAACACAAATTTTGTCAATGAACAGTGAGCATGCACAGTAGTGTAGTGCCTTTGAAAAAAATATTAAATGGAGCATGCACAGTTCTGCCCAGCAAAAACATAGTGAAAGCTATTCGGAGCTCTGGCAGAGATTTGTTTTTCCTAGTGAAATTATATTTTATCATGTGAGCACCAATTGACTAATCATGTATTTAGAATACGGTACTCATGACTAGCGGTATTATCTATATAAGGCTTCCAAGTGGTACAATAAATCAATGTATTCAATATCTTTAGCGCAGTACCCGAGGACTGACCAATATTGTTTTCGTATTGCTCAGTCATCGGGTAACCTCAACTATCGATATCGATATCATATCGATATCACACAAAAACAAAGCCATATTTACCGAGGTTAGTCAAATTTTGTTATCTCGCCAGTCAGACTAATAAAGATAATAATAATAATATTTTATGGCTTTGTTTTTGTGTGATATCAAGATTATTCTTTTAAAATCCTAGACAACATCTCATTCACTGTACAGGTGCATATAAATGAAAATCTCTTGTCTTGCTAGTTGCTAAGCACCATTCTACAACTCACAAGTTTGAATCATATTCAGTGAAGATTGCTATTGACAACTTGATTGATCCAGAATATTCTGATTATGCTTACCTGTCCAAAACTTACCACTGTATTAGGGCAAGTCCATGGTATTTGGCTATTTGGTACCCAATACAACAATAATTATTGATCATAGTTTAAATTAAAATCATAATTGCCCTTGATAAGTGTGATCCAAGGTACAGTAGGGCTGTCAGATTCATGCAATCATCGGGTATGTTATACTCTTTGATGTGGACAGTATATGCATGAAAAGGAAGGAAAAAAATAACATACACTTTCCAAATTTCCCGTCTTGAGAGTTGGCAATAAAAGTGTTGGACTGAATATTGGCTCGGCCCTGTTTAGGAAATATTGAGTCATTACAGGATATGAGCTATATTTCTGTTTGGGAAGAATTGTATGGATTCCTCATAAACAGTGTGTTTTGTCAAGCTTTCCACGAATGCAAAAAGTATAATGATGTTACCATGTATAATCTATAGATAACATACTTTTTGATGGATGGTGTATATATATGAAAGTGCTATTTTGTATTAACAGATGTTATGAAGAAGTTTTATGAAATGCAAATGTTAAGTGCAATGTCCAAAAAATAAATGATTTTCTATACAAAGCCTTCCTTTATTTGTGCACTTGAGTTGTTGTTTGTTTCAGATATTTTTGAGAGTTCAATTTTGTTTGTTGCTGTCTGAATATGTTTAACTAAAATCGATATCAATTCACTGTCCAGTGATTTCCTAACATTGATGCATGGTAGTTGCAGTGTTAGCCATGATATACATCCCCCTTTACATCTCTTTCTCACATCCCTCTTTCTCTTCCCTTCTCTCTTCTCCTCTCTCTCTCTTCTCTCTCTCTCTCTCTCTCTCTCTATCTCTCTCTCTCTCTCTCTCACTTCAGCTTTCAATATTGAGTATAAAGTGAGACTTCGAAGATAAGTCTACCCATTTAAAACTCGCTACATTTTTGCCTTCTCTCTCTCTCTCCTCCTCTCTTTCTCTCTCTCTCTCTCTCTCTTTCATTCTCATGATTCTTTCATGTCATTCCATTCCCTTTCCCCTATTGAAATCTTTTAACTTATCCCCCTCCCCTATTCTATTTTTCAATATTTTCAATCTAGACACATTTCATTCTTTGATAATGAAGATACTTTCATATACCGGTTCTAACAGTAGCTTTAATCATTTGGCAAGAGGAATGTGTGATCATAAAACACAGGACACGGAAGCTGGCATGGTTTGTTGGCTTTTTGTCAAATAAAATTTTATCTGTTCTGAGAGAGAAGTACATGTATATGTATAAAGTGAGTGCCCGCATCGTGCAGACTATATTTGCCAGTTTTATTAAATAACATTAAAAAAAAATCAATATGGGTGCCCCATTAGTAGAAACCAGCCACTCATTTACATGTATTTTATAACCATATTTAATGTGCATCAATCTATACTGCTATCATATGCAATATGATTTTAATATGGACAATATTTTATCCCCTTCAAGGCCAATTTATTCAATCATTGAATAGACAAGGTCAAACAAAAATAAGAGAAATATAAAAGTGGAATCAAGCTGGTAGCTTGATTTTGGAAGAGTTATAATAAACCATCTGTATGGCAGTCTGCCAATAAAAATAGTTCCAGCACAGAGTTATTGGCATAGCGCCAGGCTAGGCTAACATGTACATTCGCCCACGACATGTGCACGTTATTTATAAACTATGTACCAGGTTCCATATATTATAGGGGTGATATTTTACACCTTGTTGCCCTGCCTGGACATCGACCCTGTACTTGAACTACAAAAATCATAGACACAGTTCAAATACACTTCACTATACACCTATTGATTACTCTTGAACCATGTTTGGACAGGTAAAACCAGTCTCAGCTCACCTCCCTGGTATAACAGTACTTCATGCTTTATTCTGTCAATAGTTTAGGGTTCAAGTTGCGATTGGGATTTTTGATAAGGTTTAGACGAGGGTAAGGGTTGTGTACATGTATTGTGTTTGATCCAGGGTAAATTTGGTCCGTGTGAAAATGGACGCAGAGCAATTGTCACCGAAGCAAGTGCATGTGTTGTACAACCAAACTTCACTCACTTTTTCCTTGGCAATTACAGACAGTATTGAAAATGTTAAGTTTGCATTTGAGGTTTAACTAACTCCTTGTTATATTTGCTGCAACTGATGTTGTACATATATGTCATGTAGCTTTGTCTTTATGTATTTCTTTCTTTCTCAAAAAAGAATATATATATATATATATTTCTTTCTTTCTCAAAAAGAATATATATATATATATATATATATACATATATACGGTATATATATTTCCATGGGGTGACCATTAATGTACCAGTATGTGGATTTTAAATGCCCAAGAGTGAAAATGGAATGGAAAGATTAATATAAGGGAATAAATAATGGAAAATGTATCAAACGTACAGACAACATTTTTGAGGGTGTATTTGTCAAGAAACCATGTGCAAAGTATATTCAAAGTAATTTTTATCGAGCTTGCCCTATTTTGTCAATTCATGAGTAATGAGATGAAATCACGATTGTTTTTATTGTAACAGGCCAGGCTACATGTACTGTATCAGAGTCTCCTAACTTTAATTTATCTTTCTCCATCCCCAAAGATTTAGTTTCTCTCACTCACTGCTCTCCATTTCTTGTAACATCCATGATCCATTTCACACATGCAAATTCATTCCTCTTCAATTCATGCACAATATCATATCAACTTCATTTGCTCAGAGCTATAAATCCTCTAAATCACACTAAAACAAGATGTACATCTAACACTCATTCCTTACTTTACTGTTAAGAAATGGGAAAAGAAAGAAAAACAAATCAGAGACAATGAATATCATTTATGTTTTTTTTTTAT